AATTAAATGGATACTAAGAATAATAAATAGCTAATAAGAAATTTATTTTTTATATTCTTCTTGTTTCACAATCTCTCTTTTTGTTGAAGTAGGATTTTCTTGTTCCCTTGCTTAATCTTCTTTGTCATCTTCAATCCCACTTTCTCCATTTGATAGTTATTTTTTTTGTAGAAATTGATAACTCATTCTCATCGGCTACGAAAAACCTATTTGCTTCACCTGTCATAATTGTATTGACTAATCAAAATTATATCTTATTTTCATCTAACATAAAAAAATAAAAAAATCATATTTCCAATAGTATTATTAGTCTTTTTTGGCTACTTTTCAGTCTGTTCATGTCCCTTCTACCTATAAAAAGCAGCAGAACTTTACCTCATTTGTTGCTTTTTGTACATATAAGAATGATAGCCTGATAAAAAACATAAAAAGTTGTTATCAACGATGTAAGATCAACCTTGAACAAAGAGGAGGGAGATAATCAGAGAAATAAAAGAAAAAAAACTCATTTATCTTAGAAAAAAGAAACGGTTTCACATATAGGCAAGGGGTGGGTTAATCTTTATAGGAAATTAGGACTTAATTGCTTTTAAAAAACAAATCAATGTAATTTAAAAGATCTAAAGCCATAATTTTCGTATATGAATTTTTCTTAAGCTAACAAATATATTTGGAGGTCCCACATTGATTTAATTTAGTTCAAAATATAAGAATAACTAAATACTAGTAGATATAAATTTATTACGGTTAAGAAAATATATATTTTAGAGATTTAGATTTACATATCCAAATAACATCATTTATGTTTGTGATAGTACTTAAGTGATATAATATAGTATTTTTCGTAAAACAATTACTAGCATCATTTTTAATTGATACAATATTTTGTATCATTTTTATAAATAATGTTAACAAAAACTATTAAAAGCATCGATTATCTAGTTGATGTTAATTCATTTTTSTAGTATCAATTTTGTTAAAGTGATACAAACTAATAGAAATTGTATCAATTTTATTAAAGTGATGTGAAATTGTTTATTATCAACATCAATTATTATAATTGATATTAAATCATGTATATTTGTCTCATTTATAAATAAATAATTTAAAATAGTATCACTCAGTTTTGTGATATGATTTAAGTGATACAATCCACTCTTTTTTTTTGTAGTGGTTATGTATAACATACGAAAGTATGTGGTTGTAAGTGAATTGATTTCATATTTAGTACTCCCTCTATTTGTAATAATTTGATGATGTTTTAAGAGAATTTTTTATTCAAATTAAGTGATG